ATAATGCATATTATATTCCATATAATAATATAGTGTCTATGTATGGAATCATGATGATGGTGATGATAATAATAATAATAATAATAATGCATATTATATTCCATAGTATAATATAGTGTCTATGTATGGAATCATGACGATAATAATAATAATAATAATGCATGTTATATTCCATATAATAATATAGTGTCTATGTATGGAATCATGATGATGATAATAATAACGATGATAATAATAACGCAATGCATTGCCTCCTAGACCGGTCTCTCTCATTCCCCAATTGTCTCGTAACAACAACAACATAAATAACCACTATGTAATGTAGTACATCCTGAAGTAACAATAAGATGAACAACAACACAACACATTGCTTCCTGGACCTGACTTTTCTCTCCCATTCCCGAGTGTTTAATAATAATAATAATAATAATAATAATAATAATAAATATTACATTCTGGATTAACAACAATAACAATACCATGTACAGGCAGTCCCCAAGTTACGAACAAGATAGATTCTGTAGGTTTGCTCTTAAGTTGAATTTGTTTGTAAGTTGGAACATGTGCATTTTTAAGTGTAACTCCAGCCATACATACATACAACATACATAATATATATATTACCCCCCGCTATATATATATCCCTGTACATTCCTAAACTAGGAAGCCTTGGCGTGAGGAAATACATTGGGATATACATTGAATGACTAGAACTCAATGAGGACTACTCTCTTGGAGCAGCTGAGGGATCTCAACGCCTCCTCCTTCCTCCTGGCTCCATCGCAAACAGCCCCCCCTCCCACTGCACCCTCTCCCCTCCCGGCCCAAGAAGAGTACAAAGGGAAGAGCTTACAGACCAGCCTTAGCGGGTCTCCTCTAAAGAAGACAAATATTGGTATAAAATAAAAGTAAAATAGTCAACTTGGGAATAGTGAGAGGGAACAGAAAGAGGAGGAGAATCCCACACACCAAGATCACTTTACTATTACCATGCCATTGCATCCAAAGCAGGTAATGGAAATATTGCAGCATTGGGAGCTATTGATGGGTTTTATTTCTTTATTTACTATATTTATATACTGCCCCTCTCAGCCCAGAGGCAACTCAGAGCGGTTTTGCCTATTATTAGTTAGAAACAGGAGAATTACAGTGGGAAGGCAGACTGGTAGCAGGACACACATGGTGTCATGTGACAGGGACCGTCAACAAGGGTGATTGTCTAGCTGCAATGCTAATTTACCTGGCTCATACGATAAAGTACTTAGACAAAAGTAAACTGTCGCAGCATCTGCTAAGTTGTGCATTTATTTATTTGTTTATTTACTACATTTATATCCTGGCCTTCTCACCCTGAAGGGGACTCAAAGCAGCCTTACAAGAAGGCAGTAATTTGATGCCATAAGCTCACATACAGTAAAATAAACACATACATTAAAGCCAATAAATTAAAACAATATTAAAACCAATTATTAAAATCACGTCGTCCAAAACCAAGATCCAAGGCTGTTTCATTTCACGATTCCATATTCTCGTATTGCATTAACTTGCTAGCCAAAAACTTGGTCCCATAACGACATTTTTACCCAACTCTGATTTTTTAAAATGTTTTCATCCCAAAGCCAACATCGTATACTACTTGGCTGAACACGCCCCAGTGATATTTTGAAGGGTATGAAAGTTACATCTTCTGTTGGTTCTGGACCAGGCTTTTGGACAACAGACATAGATAGCACTTTGGACATGGGATTGGATATGGAATTGACTGGAATGATGTTTACAGCTATTAATACCGTTTTTTACTGTTTTAATGAATGTTTAACTTATTGTTTTGATTGTTATTATATTGCTGTTTTATGTATTGGCATCAAATTGCTGCCAAATGTAAGCCGTCCTGAGTTCCCCTTCGGGGGTTGAGAAGAAACAGGAAAGAAATGCTGGAAATAATAAATAATACTGCAATGGTTCAACACCTGAGATCATAGAATCATAGAATCATAGAGTTGGAAGAAACCTCACAGGCCATCCAGTCCAACCCCCTGCCAAGAAGCAGGAAAATTGCATTCAAAGCACCCTCAACAGATGGCCATCCAGCCTCTGTTTAAAAGCTAATGTTGGACTACAGCCCTGACCATTGGCGATATAGA